GCATAAAATTAGGGAATAAATCGCAGAATTCCCAATGTGATATCCACCTTCTAACTCTTCTCTGGGTCGCATATTCCTTTCCTTCTTTTTGCCATATTTTCCTTATTTTCTCCATATCTCAATATTCTGCATAAACAAGGAAAAATTAAGTAAATAAAAGGAAATCCAAATATATTCTAACAAATATTGCATTATTTATTGCCTAGAGTAGATAAAATAACTCTATTTTTATAGAGTTATCAGACACCGTGCAAAGTATGTTCGACGAAGCAATGCGATTCGAGATGAAAAGTAGCGAGAAAGTCAAAATTGCAATTTCTTAGTGCGACAATGTTCGGGGAAACTGCGGATCACAAGGGATATTATATGAAGAGAGTTAATATGTTTGCTTTTCTCCATTGAAAATGGCAGTCTTCATTCAACTGTGTAAACCTTGCAAGCCTGTCCGGGTTTATCAGTAGTATTCTCACTCATCTTTCAAGCTTTGATATGCTTATACGATGCTTGACTGCATATTCGGCCAATGCAAAAGAATAAAACAAATTCAACCATCAGAGAAGCTATTCCAGTGAAAAGGCCAAAACAGCTCTGCAACATTTACACGACAGATGCAGTTATTATTGTTTAAGAAAAAAAAATCTACACAGTAGGTCTTGGTCAAACCTTGTGAACCAGAACGAACCCGCCGGTCTGGTACAGTTCCTGAATGTACAAAGTCAATTCCCGATTTCAAAGTGGGAACCGACTCACCTTGAAACTGATTACCCTTAGTGATTATAAAATACCTTTAGTCCATATTGATGATGCGAATATTAAAGATCAATCATAATATAAAAACGTATCAATTGATTAGTTGTTTGGTTCTATTTTTTTCCGAAACAAGTGGGACGATTCGTTCGTTCAATGATTAAGCATTGTGTAGACTCGCTTTGTTAGAGCAAGTCAATCATATATGAAAAGGGGCAAACACAGTTCCCTAATTGAATAACGTAGCAGCTACAATTGATTTTTTATTCTTTTTTGGAAATAACTATCCTACTAGGATGGTGAAATGCAAATTTTTCTTTGGAGCACTTGTCAAAATGCACCCACTATTAAGGATAACCATTTTCGGAGGAAAATTGTACATGATCCATTGTGTTCTCTATACAATTTGCAACATGAGACGATCGAGCATGTTTTCATGCTGTGCCCTTGGACATCAAAGTTATAGTTTCATTCGGCCCTATACATCAACATATCAAACTCAGATTTGTCTAGAATTGAGTAATGGCTTATTAACTTTCAACATACCTCAGTGTCTTTCAAATTTCTCTTGATCGTTCTCTGGTTAATTTGGAAGCCCTAAACTTCTTCTGATCTCGTTCATGTACCTCATTCGAACTGAACTTAGATCAGTTTGATCTGATTAATGGCCTATCAAGTGTAGAAGAAGCTTTTTTTTGGTCCAAAAAGAAGCTTCTTTGGGAGGTCAGTCTGCTTATAAAGGAAGCCTTAGGCCCAATTTAGCTTTTATTGGGATCTTAAAGCGGCCCATTATAACCGAGAGGCAAATAAGGTGATAGACTGAATCGCAAAAACCCAACATAAGAAAAACCTTCCTCTTAATTGGATCTTATATCCCCCTTAAGCCTTTTGGGCTTTAATATGTTCTGAATCCACAGCTATGTTTACTCATCCTTATCTTAATGAATGAAAATTATATTTCAGACCGAAAAAAGAAAATGCAACTTTGATGAAAAACCTTGATAGACATTTCACATTTGGACCATTGTAGGTGCCAAGATGAAACAATGGGAAATTACTGAAAAAGTCCTAACCTTATTATACGATTGTTAATTTAGTCATAAACCTTTTAATTTAGCTAATTTAATCCTATAACTTTTAATGATTGCCAATGTAGTTATTCTGGCCAATTTTGGTTAGAAATCGTTGACGTGAAGGCCGGTCATCCTACGTGGCAAGACCTGCGCTAACGTGGACAAATTTTTTTTTTTTAAAATTTTCTAAATTTTTTATGATCGGCGAGGTTGGACTTGGCTAACCCTCACCTGTGGCTAGTTAATGACCATCACTAAGGCCCGGCGTCTAGCCAAAGAAGAAGGAAAACAAGAAAAAAAATTCAGGAAAAAAATAAAAATAACTTTCAAAAAAATTATACACGTCAGTACCGGCCATGCCACATAGGACGGTTGGTATCAACGTCAGCGATTTCCAACCAAAATTAACCGAAAGTACTACATTGGCAGATCCTCAAAAATTTTAGAACTAAATTGGTCAAATTAAAAGGTTTAATACTGAATTGACATCCGTATATTAGGTTTAGGACTTCTTTGATAATTATCCCACGAACAATTATTTGGTTTGAGAGAGACTTCTCTTGGTCTCTCTCGCCTAGAGATTTTCGATTCGAAAATCGAAACACATGCGACCAAGAGACTAATTCATGACATGGGTCCATAATGAATTTGAGTGTCATCTCCAGCGGCTCACCTAACAAAAGGAGTCAAAGAAAACTTGCTGGACAGATCTGAATAGAGAGACAATCATGTCCACATTTCTTTAGAAGCTGAGTGGAGGTCCAGTTCACTTGCATTCAATGACATTGATTGAGATCACCCAGGACCCTAATCACCAATGTAATTGAGCCATGATGGGACTAGAATCTAGCTTTCTACCTAATTGGGTCCTCAGTAAATCGAGGAACATGCCCCCATATGACAAAACATTATTCTATTGTCCCAAAAGCAAGAACCTAAAGACTGTTGAGACTCAACTTTCCGACCTGTTTACTGCAAACGCAAGCAAAGAGAAGACAAACGAGAAAAGAGAGAGGAAAAAAAGGTAAGGGCTCCATAGGTTTGAGATGGTGGCTTGTTCAGTTTGTCTTCGTCCGGGTCCTGTGATGACCAAAAACCCGGTCTCTGTCCTTCCACTTCCCAATGATGTTGAGAGAACGAATGATGCCTCAGGAACCAAAATAGAATAATTGATGAATTATAGCTGCTGCCAACATTGACCAGGTACGGTCGGCTTTTTCCTTGCTACTTGAATGAGTATGTTGTTTTGGAGGGTTGTTCTTGGAGTTCGTCAATGTTTATGCAAAGTGTCTTGACGGCCTGCAGATTAATGGGTTTGTATAGATTTCTCTTAGCATATTTCTGAGATTAGTACTTAGAATATACAAATTAATTTACAAAAGTTGGTTATAAAATAATGAATCAAATCATACTTAATATTCGTAAGCGACTCTTTTGACCTTAGCCTTATACCATATATAAAAGGCGTGACGTTGTGATTGGATTAGATTTCGGTCGAAATCGACTTCTTATGAGCCAAACAGTTTGCAAGTCCTCAAGAGGAGCTTGTGAGCTATGAATGAGTGCCTAGTTGGACGAGAAGAAACTAGGGAGAGATGAGCAATGAATGAGTCGAATGGTTCTCATTAGTACATGAAGCTAGGTGAGATGTGAGGTTCCTAGAAAAGCCATTGTAACAAACACATGTAAAAGATCTAGCGCAAAAACAAGTAAACTCAAGAGGTCAAAAAGAAAAAAATAATATATATATATATATATATATATATATATATATATATATATAGAGATATAGATATGGTCTTTCGATCAAGGGTATTAATCACTCATCGACTATCTCACGATTGATAAAATCAACTGATATGGGGTAGATATGATGTAAAATCTCAAAGAGATATACTTTTCAAGAGAAGGCGAAAGGATTGCTATTAAATAGTTTTCTTTTCAAAGGTGTATCCACTTTTCAAAAGAAGGTAGAATTACGATTAAAAGATTAAATTTTCAAAGATCTCAATCACTCTACAAAAAAACAAAAGCATGCGGCTCAACACGTCCCTCTATAAAAGAGGAAGAAGAAGGAACAAGAGGAGGCATCAGCCTGCAAAATCAGAAGGTCATCCAAGGAACATCTCAACATTCTCCTTTGTAGTTCTCTTGTAAAAGATGTTCTACTTTTCATCTTCCAGTTTGCAGTCCTCTCAAGAGTTTGCAAGTCTTGTCTTCTTGACATTCTTGGTGCTGTAATTATTGTGATTTTGATCAGACGCAGTTTTAATCATTCAAAATTACTGTGTTCAATCATGATTCTTGAATCTTATTCAATTGCTTCATCTTGAAAACCACGACAATAAGTAGAAGGACCAGAACAAGGAAAAAGCAACAAGTTTACAGTAACAGTTTAGTTGCACAGAATCCACTCGAATTACCTATACATTCATGCCAACAAACTATGTCAAAATCATGATTTCAGCGTGATTAAGGAATAAATACTAGTCTTATTCTTATGTACATCATGAGCTCCGTACCCATTACCCACTCCCAAGTAAAATTTAGCCAAAGAAAGAAAAAGAAAAATCAGTAACCTTCATGATAATATTTTATGATATTTCCCACTAAATAAGACATGCCGAGGATGGTCAAAAGCTGATCACCCCACATCTGAGATTCTGTTCCTGTATAGGAATGTGAAGAGAGAGAGAGAGAGAGAGAGAGAGAGAGAGAGTGCCCAAAGAGTGGTAGAACAGAAAGCTGTCTTTTTTCCCCTATTTTCTTTCTCCCACAGCATCTTCTCAGGGTTTTTATGCATGCAAGTTCAATTCTCCGCACAGGCACAAAGAAAAAGGAATCATTAACAGTGGATTTCTGGGCAAACAATCATGGGAACCAAAAAAAGAAAAGAAGGAAGTCACTGCGGATTCCTCAGATTTTAACAGGCTTAGGTAGGACATGATGCTTTTAGCTTGAACTGAAAAGGAAGATAAAGTAAAGGGTTGTTTCATAGAGTGTTTTCATAGTCATGGACGGGAATTATATACATGAAATTCAGCTTTTTTGACCAAAAGATCTTTACCAGGTGGTAATGAAGTGAAACCAACAGAGAGCCAAATTGGCTTTGATTACAAATGGCTATTTGCTCTGTTGTTTTATTACAAACTAGCACACTTGGAAGACAAAACTATAGAATTGGAGATCATAACCACAGTTCATTTTGATTATACTTGCACAGCTACAAGTAGTCAGTTAACTTACACACTGAGATGAACCTTGAAGAATTATTTGGAAAAAGTAATTCAAGGTTAAGAACTAGCTAGCTAGATAGGTGAAGAAAGCTGAGGAGAAAATCATCATCAGCTTGTTTCATACATGGAGTTAAGAAAACCTTTTTCTCCACAAACTCTACGTGAGAAATGATTACAAAAATTCCATTTTTTCCCTATGCAGGCCTAATTCTCTTGTGCGCTGTCCTGCTACCAGAGGAGTTGTCCTCAGAGGAAGCATCCATGATCTTTGAGAAGTTACCGGAGAGATCGGCGTAGAGGTCGACGACCCGTTTGATGTTGTTGTTGAGCTCTCGGATGAGGCCGACGTTGCGGCTCAGGTTGTCTGGGATCTTGGACTCCTGATTCTGGTTTATCTCATTGATGAGAAGCCTGTTCTGGTCCAATATGTTCTGGACCTGCACAAAGCTCTTCTGGAATGTCTGCAACACCCTCCCATCAATCTGAGCCCCATTGCCAAGCCCTGAGAATGTGTCACCCTCCATTCGAAATTGAATTGATTTTTGGGTCAGATTTTATGTGTGATCAGATCCAGACCTGCATCAAGAAGAAGAAGCAAAAGAACACAAAAAGGCTGAGACTGTGTTCCCTCAGGTTATATCCCATTTTATAATAACCCCCACTAGGCCAAAAAAGAATGGAGAAAAGAACTTTCTGTTCATTAAGATTATGCTAATGAACTGTAGCTTATAGGTTCCTTGATTAGAAAAAGATTCCACTGCACATGCACAACATAAACACATGTTCTTGTTCTATATCAAAAAACAAAGTTTTGCCAAATAAATTGAGAATAAAAAAACACTAGGAAATTCAGCTTCTTAACTGGACATGAATGAGCAGCGCAGCTTCAGAATTTGTTTACTTGTCACAAGAGACAAGGTGTGATAGTTGAAATCATGACCGCATGGGCACTTTTAGTTTTCTGTGGAGAGAATTTGTGCAATAAATATAGTACATTATTACAGTTGTTGTGTATATTAATTGCCATTGATGACAAAAATATGAGGAGAAAGCAGATTCCTTTTCCATATAAAGGAAACCTTTTTATCGTACTCAGAGAAATACCCACCTTAAAGATCAGCAGCGTTAAAAACAAGAATCTTAAAAAGGACGAAGCTCTGAGTCTCAGTCAATGATGCAGAAAAGATAAGGCATTTTCCAGAGACAGCACTATCGATTTTTATTAATATATTATGGTAATAGGCAGGACGGATTCATACGAATGTAAAGAGGCCAAAATGATGAAAAGAAAGTTCAACAAAATAAGAACAGAGAAAGCGCATTAAATTATACGGCCGACTTCGGTTGCAATTCAAAAAGAGAGAGAAAAACAGAAAGACCCAACTCATACGATCCAAAGATGTTCAAAATTCAAAAGCTTGCAATCCCAAATGCAAAGGCATGAGTTTCCAAAAAGTAAGACAAAAGACGAAGACTTTGCCCCCCCGAAAGAACGCTCATTCCCCACAAAAGAACCTGCAAACATGGGCTCGCAGCAAAGATCAGGACCATTTCAAAGCCTGCCCATTTTCCAAATCAGTCAGGCGGAAGCTCAACCGAAGAAAAACAGAAACAGGGGACGTTTAAAAGAATTTCAACAAGAAGGGAAATTCCACAATCTACTTGGGGAAAAGCAAACTCCATTCGAAGCTGCAGATGAAAAGATGCAGATGGACAGTGATGTGCCGACAAAAAGGGAGGAGGAGGAGGAGGAGGAGGAGGAGGAGGAGAACAGAGCACAAAGACCAGACAAAAGAGAAAAAGACCAATTTCTGTCTTTTTTTCCGAGGCCTCTGTTACGTTTCAGGCAATCGTACCGCAACAGGGTATGTGATTAAAAAAGAAAAAGTTCGTACCTTGAACGTTTCCTGGGAGATTGCATCAAAAGGAGACATGGAGGATTTGAGAGCGAGCCAAGAGAGAGACAGAGAGAGGATCAGATTCGGGAGGAGAAAACCCAGAAAAGATCGGCGACTGGATAGAATCTCGTAGACAGAACAGAAGGAGTTGCTGTTTCTCGACGAAATCTGCGAGTGTTGTGTGCGTTTGTAAGAGAAAAGAGAGAGAGAGAGAGAGAGAGAGAATAAATGGATTTGACAGTCACGCACCGGACACCTCGGGCGCCTACAGGTTTTTTGGTTCTGTTCTGATCCATTTCACTCTTTATGTCCAATTCAAGGTCCAGTGTTGCTTGTTATTGAAAAATTTGCAAAAAAGAGTGGGTCACTTGTTATGTCTTATAGATATAGCTTTCACTTAAAATAAATATTTGGGTAAAAGCCTCCAAAAAATCTAAATTATGTCCGTTGTACATATGTGACACATTTACCCTATGTCAATATCCCGTTAATAAGCGTCGCTAAAAATCTATCTTTTTGAACGGTGAAAGGCAAACTGTGTTGACATGGCACTTACGTGAAAAATGACATCGTTTTGGCTGAAAAATCATTTGACTGAATCTTGATGGAGGGTAAATGCATCGCATATATACAAGTTTGGAGTTTTTGATGTCACAAAAAAGGTTTAGAGTAAATGTGTCATAATGGATTAGGGGTGATTAGTTTTAGGGTGGACGGTTCCAGGGTGCCTAGAATTGGGAACTGCACACTAAGGATCAGTTCCGAAAAATTACACCGATTCGGTTCCTGAGCGCATCCATGGAACCAATCCCACCAAGCTTCACACGACGGCTAGCCGCAATGTCCCTGCTTGGCCGAGTCACTTGCAACAAACCCAACGACTTCTAGTACTCCATCGTGTTAGTTCCTACAGCGGTGGACCTCCATCAGCATTATTAGACTTGAGAGTTGAGGTTGTGAGTCGAGAGACAGAGACGGAGAGACCGAGGTGAGAGTGAGACACTAAGATGAGAGAGATCGAAATAAGAGTGAGACATTGAGAGTCCGAGACGAGATAAGCGAGTTTTTAGATTACGGATTACGGATTTTCATTTTTTAAAATTAAAATTAAATAATATATTACCGATCTAGGTGAGCTGTTCTACACTTGGAACTTGGAACCGGACCGGTTTGATTCTGGGCGGTCCGAGTGATTCCTAGTTCCTTTGCACACCCCTACAATGGATATAGTCTGAGGTATTTTATGTCGCAAAAGAAAATTTAAGATAAATGTGTCACAATGAATATAGTTTGAGATTTTTTATGATTCTTTCTCTTATTTAAAATAAGTTCTTTTACTAAAATGTGTAATTATTTCATTTTCAAAAATATCTTTAAAAGTCTTGCTTTCTTTTTTTGATTAATATTAGCAATTACCCTAAGCTTTATTTATTAATTTTGAATAGCATTCCAAATTTCCGAGTCAATAGATATTAAAAATAGCGTCAACACAGACGATCATCATTTGTAGTTGAAACCGGAGGTGGCAAAGAAGACTTTCGAGAGTAACCCGTGAGTAATGTCATGCTTTGGACACACTATACTTCGTAAACTTACTATATCCTTGACAATTTAATTAATTCTTTGTTTCTTTATTTACGATATGCACTAGGGGTGATCGGTTTCAATGTGGATGGTTCCACAAAATGAGAAACGGGAACCGCTCACAGGTTCCTAGACCCACTTGGGAACGGGACCATCGATCTGACCCAATCCCCGGGTAGGTCCATGGAAGCAGTCAAGTTCGAGACAGAGAGATATGATCAAGAGGAGTATGGGCAGGAAAGTTAAATAGTAAGGAGATGTGAAGCTAGGATCTCGCCCACCATTTCATTAACGTAACGCAGTGACACCACCAAGCGTCCGAATACGTTTCATGCAAAAGCCATGAAGTAGGGAGAAATCTTCAGGAGCAACGAAAGAAAAAAGGAAGGAAGATTAAAGACATGCTCACATTGTTCAACTGGGGGAGAACTAAGAAACTCATTTGAAAACTCATTTGAAGAGAAGAAACACTTCAATCATTGTCTCTTCCGACACGAAAATGAAAACCCAACAACAAGGTTGAATTTTTCTTGAAAGAAAACCGAAATCCATCCAAAAGCTGTAGTTGTACCGGGAAAGTTGTTGCTCATCTACTGTTTCCTCTGAATGTATCGCCCCTCCACAAAACCAAAGAAAAATATTGGGGGAAAGAAAAGACAAAATGACCCAACAGAAAACCATAACCAAAAGATTGAGGATGGTGGACGAGGAGAGAGTGGCGAGGTCACGGCTGCAAGCCTGCAAGGGAGGACTAGAGACGAGGTCGCGACTATGATGTCGTGATAGAGGGTCGGAGGTGAGACGGAGAACTTGGTTGACTTGTTGAGAGGTGAGGCGACCAAAACGAATCGAGAGCGAGATGAGGCGACAGGTGAGAGAGTTGAAGGCTTCAGAGCGAGATGAGGAGACGGAGGACTGACTAGGGTTTCCTTTTTTGTAAAAGGCGTGAGAGTCTTTTCAATCTATCATTTGAGGACTGTAAAAGATACGAGGGTCTGAGTCTGAGTCTGAGTCTAGGTCTGAGAGAGCCGAAATTAATATATGTACGTATGTACCGGTCCGATTTGGTTAGGCGGTTCTATACCTAAAATCAGAAACCAGACCGGTCCCTAGGTTGGTTCGATCCGAATTTGGGTGGTTCGGAAAGTTTACGATTCTTTTATACACCTCTAATATGAAATCATACGTGAAAACTAATGAAAAATCATAATACGCGGGAGTTTTTTTTTTATGGGGAAATAAATAGGACCTAGACATAAAATTATTTGGAGATAAAATATTGCCAATGTTCAATGTAGTACATGTTTACTCTAACGAGGATAATATTGAACATTTTTATATAATCCAGCGACTAAATTGACTTTACACTAAAAGTTCAGACACCCCATTAAACAATTTAAAAGTTCAGGAATCACGTTATATATTGGGCTAAAGTTCAAAGCCGGGTTGAACAAATTAAAAATTCAATGATCACATTACCCGTTGAGCCAAAATTTAACGAACATTTGTGTCATTTTCTCAATTATTTATAAGGGTAAATGGTGCTTGTAGCGAATACAACTAGCCATCCATTCCCCAGCAATAAAGCAGCTCATGATTTCACTTTTTCATTTGATTACCGGTCAAGAAAGCACGATTTTGGAGATTTGTCGTTCTTACAGTTCCTTCGTTCTGCTCCAAACCGAGAGAGGCCCAGAAAACAGAGCAGCCTCGTCCCCCTCGCATGATTCTGCAATCTTCCCCCGGAGCATGCGCGACCCACTCGTGAACCGAACGAGACGGAAGAAGCCATGCCGAGTCTGAGGAGCATCCGCGGAGGCAATGCCAAACGTTTGGTTGCATCGCAGCTCCAGTTTCATTTTTCCAAGCTACAGGGTAAGTACGCGATGCAGCTTCTTGGTTTTTGCTCTGTTGTAGAATTGCGCGAAGCATTAAGGTTTCTTTACCTGCATTTGCCCGTCTTCCTCCTGATTCTTTCAGACCCAGAATTGCTCATCCGCCATGTTCTCGAATCCTCCAAGCGGGCGGGGGATTTCAAGACCACCGCCAAAGCCCACGCAAGAATCGTCACCTGCGGGTACTCGACCAACCCACCTCTTTTGGCTTCCCTGGTCTCGGCTTACGTGCGGTGTCATCGACTCGATCTCGCCGAGCTTGTGGTCCATCATGTCGCCAGCCGGTGTCGCAACTTGTTGACCCTCAACATCTTCCTCAGGGATCTGTTGGGTGCCGGGCAATGTGGCGTCGCGAGGAAGCTGTTTGATAAAATGCCTGAACGGGACGTGGTGACTTGGAACTCGATGATTGGAGGCCTGACACGGAACGGGCGGTTCCACGACGCGCTCGCATCTTTCCGAGATATGCTCGGTTCGGATGTCGAGCCTGATGGTTTCACGTTTGCGTCTGTTTTCACCAGTTGTGCCCGGGTCGGGTTTCTAAGTCACGCATTGTGGGCACACGGGTTGATGATCGAGAAAAAGATTGAACCGCACTTTATATTGAATGCAGCCCTTATTGACATGTATGCAAGATGTGGCAAGATCCAAACTGCTCGAGAAATTTTCGACAGCATTCATCGAGACGATGTATCGGTTTGGAATTCAATGATTAATGGGCTGGCCATTCATGGCGTTGCCCATGATGCTATTACAGTTTTCTCCGAGATGGAACGGGAAAAAGTCTCACCCGATTCTATAACTTTTGTTGGTATATTGACAGCCTGTAGCCGTTGTGGGTTGGTTGAGGAAGGGCGCAAGTATTTTGATTCAATGAGGAGCCATTACTCCATTCAGCCTGAAATACAGCATTATGGTGCCATGGTTGATCTGTTGGCTCGAGCGGGATCAGTGGACGAGGCCTATGCTATGATTAAGGAAATGCCCATGAAACCAGATGCTGCAATGTGGAGGACTCTCCTCAGTTCTTGCAGGGTCTTTAAAAGGTCGCGACTCGGTGAAGTTGCCATTGCAAATATTCCGCGTCGCGAAAGTGGGGATTATGTCTTGCTCTCAAACACCTACTGCTCTTTAACTAGGTGGGATAGTGCGGAAAAAATGAGAAATTTGATGAAAAGGAAAGGAGTTGGTAAAAATTGTGGAAAGAGTTGGATTGAGTATGCAGGTGAGATTCACCAATTCAGATCGGGTGATAGGTCGCACAGGGAAACAGAAGCACTGTACGAAGTTTTGGATGACCTTATTAAAAGAACTAAAATGGCGGGGTTCGTGCCTTCGATGGAGTTGGTTCTGATGGACGTTGCTGATGAAGAGAAGGAGGAGAATTTGAACTTTCACAGTGAAAAACTGGCAGTGGCATATGGGGTCTTGAAATCTAGTCCTGGGAGCGAGATCATGGTGTTGAAGAACCTTAGGATCTGCTATGATTGTCATTGCTGGATAAAATTGGTTTCAAGGGTATTGAGCAGAACGATAGTCGTGAGAGACCGACTCCGGTTTCACCGATTTGAAGGTGGCTTGTGTTCATGCAACGACTATTGGTAGCCTACACATGGTTGCTTCCTTTTAGCCTTCGGCGCTACTAACCATACCAGATACCTTTATGCGAAGGTAGCTATCAGGCGGTTCTGCTAGATTATCATTTATCATTTATCATTTAGAAGGGAATGCACTAATTACAAGCTAGTATTACCCGTTCGATTGTTTTTAACATTTGAGAGAAGGGTTGGTTACAGATAGAGATTTCTATCAGAATACGAGATTAGGAGCTAATGTACTTGTGTTCCGGAACCAGCCTTGACAACAGCGAGGAGAGGAACCATTTGGAGGTGATAATCAATTTCAGACCATGGTCAACACGCTCCTTTTATTGTTTTTCTAATTTCAGCATGCTCCTTGATCAAGTAAGTTGTCGAAAAACTTATCACCGAATAGAGACTCGACTCGCTGCTCTTTGTTTCCCTCTCACCAATTTACGTTCCTCTACTCCTTTGCTTTGCTAGTTGAAATGGACAGGGACTCGACGTCACCGAATATTATTTCGTGTGCTGAAATGATTTGTGCTCATGTGTAACCCGATTAGAAGCGCAATGTCAAACTCAACAAAGTGTAAGGAATTCACGATCATGAGGATGGATATGTAGTACATCTAATCACGTTGCATTTTCCGCACCACATCCCATCCTATATGTTATTAACAAAGAGTACAGAGTACACCAATCGATTCCTTTAACGACTCCTGATGCAAACTGATGATTTGTACTGCTAGAATGGCGTGCTAGTCATCCCATCAGGTGGCCCTAGACAATGCTTTCGGACAAGCAGGACATGGGCGAGCGGCTTCGTTTCTGTGCTTGATTGACTAGACATTCACAGTCATGGCAAAGAAGTTTCAACTTGAGCTGTGCAATCGATCCGGTTCTCCTTGAAATCGGACCGGACCTGATGGGACCGGACCGTGCATAAAAATAGGTTCGATTTCCTGTTCCAAATCGGTACTATGCAGGTAGGTTCTAGGTTGTCGGTGTTGAACTTACTCACTCATTTACTCAGAACCGGCTAGAACCTGTTTTTTGAAATTGGAAGAAAATGATATATTATTCTTAAATGAGTTTAACTTCTCTATTGCTTTATAAATCTGTTTGTTTTGTATTGATATTTTACTTTGAGCTATTTTGATGCTCAATAAAAATAGAAATCGGTTCATGGGTAGACTTCGGAACCGGACCTAACAAACAGGGTAGGTTCCAGGTCAATTCCAAGACAAGTAGGATAGATTCCAGGTTCAAAAAACCGGGAACCGGGTATAACACGGTAGGTTTTCAGGTAACCTACCTACCTTAGAACCGATCACCCTTAGTTTCAACCCGGCCCGGTCTGTTAAGTGGCCTGGACAGTGATTTTGGGCTAGCTAGTTGGGCCACCAGAAGGCCACGAGGCTGGCGTCTCCCCTTCACAGGCTCGCAACTGTAACGAGGTTTGGACAACGCCGGCCAGGTGTTCGACGTTTTGTCCCGCCGTCCAGGCCCATCCCCTCATCGTCACGAATCAAACCAATCCCCTCCACACTCCATGGTCATACCACCTACTCCTTTCACTTTTCACTCCTCTCGATCACAGTCACCCCTTATGATTCACTCTCTCCGATCTCGCCCACACATTTTCCGTTCCCTCTCCCACGCCTTCTCGCCCCCCAGCCGCTCCTTCAGACGCTCCTCCCTCTCCGTCAAGCCCCTTTCCACCACCGCCGCCGCCGCCATGTCCTCCGCCGCCCCCGCCCAGCTCGTCGAGCACATCGTCCTCTACAAGGTCAAGGTCGGCACCGACCCCTCCCGGGTCGACGCCATGCTCGCCGGCCTCAACGGCCTGACCTCGCTCGACACGGTCCTCCACCTCGCCGCCGGCCCGGTCCTCCAGATCAGGTCCTCCCTCTTCGCCTTCACCCACATGCTCCACAGCCGCTACCGGACCAAGGACGACCTGGCCGCTTACGCCGTCGACCCCAGCCACATGGGTGTCGTGAAAGAGTCCGTCCTGCCCATCTGCGACGACATCATGGCCGTCGATTGGGTCGCCGACCGCGTCCCCGAGAGCCTCGTGGTGCCCCCCGGGTCCGCCGTCAAGGTGAGCTTCCTCAAATTGAAGGAGGGTTCGGGGGACGGGGCGAAGGGCGAGGTGATGGGGGTGATTGAGGGGATTAAGGATGGGTTTGCGAAGATCGAGCAGGTGACGTGCGGGGAGAACTTCTCGCCGGCGCGGGCCAAGGGGTTCTCGATCGCGTCGCTCGCGGTTTTTAAGAGCGTGGAGGAGATGGAGGCCGCGGTGGCCGATGAGGAGGCCGTGAATTCGCGGAAGGAGAAGGTTAGGGAGTACTTGGACGGCGTGATCGTGGTGGATTACGTCGTCCCGGAACTGCAGCCGTCGAGCGCGAGCCTTTGATGGAATGATGGATGATTGCCTCCCTTTGGAGGTTTATGTCAAATGTTTTGTATCTCTCTTGCTCCGACTGTTGAGATACCTGAAACTGCTTAACGATGATGGAATAAATTATATGATGAGTAGTCTTGGTGCTTGAATTGCATATTTGTTCTCTAATTATATGGCTGGTGAGTTGATATGGAGTAGATAACTATCTTTAGGACAAAAGGGTATATGATTCTTGAATGAATGAAGGACAAAGTTTAGTGCTTTTTCGGATTATGACACGTGAGGAAGAAATGAGTAGATTTTTTTAGATCATTTAGACTGTTAACATAACTTTTATAGCTCGTGAGAACCATGGCGAGGCTGTTGCTTCCGGTGATCTGGTTCTTGTAGTTGGTAGCATGCTAAGTCTTTGATATCGGGACTTGTTGGAACTTCCAGTAACTCGATAATGTGAACTCAGATGATTGGAGCCTGAGGATTTCTGTGGGATGCAGCATTTCAGGTCCCAGTATTGAGTTAGATAAATTGACATCTAATGTGCCGTATCTTTCATCTTTTCTCTTGCTGTCTGCTTGTGATATTTGTCCACTTCCTATGCCATCGTACCATGATGGAAAATTATTTAGCTTCCATCAATTATTGTACCTAGTGATGTCATACAATTACTCATGTGAAAGATTCTCCGTGGCCCAGGCAAGCTTCTCAGTGTGGCACTTCAATAGAATTGTGTTGGCAAGTTATATATTCTCATAAGTCTCATAAAGCTGTCTAAAAAAGAGACGTCAAGTATCCTTCTGGTGGTCAATTCACTCTAGAATCTATGGTTTAGTTTCTTAGTGGGATGAATCAGAAGTAGACTGATTTAATGCAATGATGTGGCTACTCTTTTAATGGTTGCTTGCGTTGACCGTGGCGAACTACTCCTTGTAAGTCTGGTCTACAAAAGCTAATAGATGCTCTCTAACTGGTGCTAACTTTTTGTAACTGCAGCCTGTTGCTGTCTTTTAGATTCAAAGGACCACATCATGATTTTCAGTTGAGTTGTAGAATGGGAACAATAAAATGTAATGGCACCAAAAGATGCTGTCTCTGGATACTTTTCTGTTAGCATTGACAACGTCTAACCCAGCAATTACAATATACTAAGTACTGTTGGAGCGTCTGGAATCAAATGTGGTCTGACTTAATATTCGTTTAGTCTAGGAGTAGTATGGTCAACCATTTTCATTCTTTGCATGGTGGAATGACTTCGGATGCTGTGAAATCTTCTAGGATGTTGAGGGCGCCTGTCTATGTACGAGGTGAGCAATTTTTTGGTTCTTGTCCTTTTTCACCTCTTGAAAAGAGTCTCTCTGGGTTTATGGATGGCTTACATTTCCAGCGTAATTGCGGTGGAGTGACTACTACTGTTTTTCATTGCATAGCTGTTCTAAATTTGTAAGATTTCGTATATGCGAAAGGAAAACATTTGGTTGCACTTTCTCTTTGTAAGTGAGATTTGTCATATCTGTCGTTAAGTTAGTGATTAATGACTAGATTACGGCATATCGTCAATATTATAACAGTAAAGGCTGTTTTATCACATCAATCCCACAAGTTCTGGCTTTTTGTTTCCAATCAGCAGAAAGCTCGTCTTCGTGCAAGAACCAGAGATCTACCTCCGATAAGAGGCACTCCAATATTAGGCTTCTGTCATGTTTACAGTGTATGTGCAGTATTCATTTGGTTTTCCTTGGTATATTGTCCTATGCTAATAGCAGATGCTTTAAGGCATTGTCAATCAAAGTGTTACGTGCTTTCTCTTCGATTTTACTGTTGTTTTGGGAGCTTTCTATTGAGCATTGAATTGCAAGACTTGATTGGAGCTTCAAATGGTCTTTATAAGTTTTCTTTGTGATCTTTGTAGATGCTCATGGACTCACCCATTGCGTTCGATGTTCCTCTTTCGATGTTCATTTTTCGTTGCCTTTAAAATGCGCGATCGAGATATGTTACTCCTTTTTCTCCTGTGGTAGTGTACCATCCTGGAAATGCTGATGTCTTTGTTCATGTTAAAATTGAGGTGTGATTTCTGAGATGCCCTTTGCAGCTAGCTAGGGGTGAGGAAATGGAACTGCCAGTCCGAACCAAATCGGCCGGTTCTTGGTGGTTTTCGGGGGCACCGGTTCGATTCTTGGTTTCCAAATATTGGAATCGGTGATTTTCGGTCCGATTCCCGGACCCATGGGTGGAACTGCCTACTCGAACCAATTGGACCGTATCAAATTTTTCTTTTTTAATTTCTTACGAAATCTGTAAAAATTTGAAAAGACCTAATCCTTCACAACACAACCCAGTCACTCTCTCGCACGCCCGACTCACTCTTTCCGTCTTTCACAAATCTGAGCAACAGCCCTAATCTCAATCACTCTCTCACTCAATTGGCTGGACTCACTCTTGCTCAAGTGTCACCTCACTCTTGCTTGATTGTCGCCTCTCTCTTGCGGTCTCTCTCTCTTGCTTGACTATCACCTCTCTCTCGCTTGACTATCACCTCTCTCTCTTGCTGTGTTTTTGGCCAATCGTAATCGCAATCGCATATCATCGAGGTAAATATCCAATGCTCTGTTTTTCTGAGAACTTGTTCGTGCTAATGGGGCTCCCGGTGGACTTGCATATTCAAAGTCTCTTTATGGTTTGAACTTTCTTGTGCTGCTAAAATATGAATAACCTCAGCTTGACTCGAGGTAAGAACTTATACGGTGCTACTGTGGCTTAACATTGTACATTGATTTTTGTAGAAAATTTTCTATTCAAATACTTTCTTGTTGTGGTTTAGCCATTGCAAAGGACACCTTATTTGGCTTCGTTTATGAATAAGAATGCCTGAAATATATCCAGAAATTGAAGAATCAAATCGAGCGTTAAAAACGAACATGCAAACGGTTTCAGTGGCACCAATTCCCAATTTCTGGAGGGGAACCGGACAACTCTGTCAACTCATGAACCGATACTCCTACAGTTAACAGCACTGCCATACTCTCTCTCTCTCTCTCTCTCTCTCTCTCTCTCTCTCTCTCTCTCTCTCTCTCTCTCTCTCTCTCTCTCTCTCTCTCCGCGTGCTAGCGTGAGCTAAGAAATGAAAAAAACCGTGCATCCTTGTGAAGATATGCATGGTATTTTCCTTAGAGGCAACGGCAATCTCTCAAACGTCTTGATAATGTGATGTTGGTAAAGTTTTATTATTTCGCCAGTAACTTATTAAACTAATAAATTCCAAATTTTTGGAATAAATATTGTCAAGATCGATATGGTTCCCTTCCTTTGTCATTGGGAATTCCTTTCATCGCCTGTGGTCAAATCGACCACAAATCCCCACCCCACGATCCCATCGACCCCTCGGAATTGCAACGTGAAGAACAGCAAGGGTCAGCTACTTTCTCCACTCAAATGAATCGGGAACTTTCTCCAGATAAACTCGCTTCGTGACTCTGGCCGGAGAGTTAGACAGCGAAAAACAGAACGTGGATTTTGTACCTCCAGAGCAAAGGTCTCAATTGGGTTGCATGTAGATGATGAGATGGTACATGGTTTTCGAGAATCTCTTGACCTCGTATGGACAACTTGGGTTTTGACTTAAGACGGCTAGGAAGAACGAGCAAGGGGGGCCAAAAAAACAGAGCAACTTAGTATGGATCCTAACGCTGTCCTGCGACTAATTCAGTGTCACTTCAATACCAGCATTAATGATGCTCATCTGCCAGCAAGAGATACTGGAATCATGGGCGCGGGCTAAGTGCGTGCGAGGCCAGCCACATGGCAAGGTTCCAAACAGATTCTCCTGTGGAAGAGACGAAATTCTGGGACTTGGGATTGGTTCGTTCCTGGAATCCAATTGGGTTATGTGGCTATAGGACCGTTTTAACTGCATGGACGCGCCGTACCTCATCCGGCACTCAAGGTTGAACCCCAATGATAATACTGCTGAAGTAGAGATTACGAAAGAGATCGCGTGATTAGTGAGCAGCGTCTGCTCTTTTAGTGTGTCATCATCTCCTTGTAAAGAAGTGATCACGGCGTTCGTCACAAACTAATTAGTACTTTTTTTTTTGGTGTATAAAATCCGTACTCAATTCGTTAGTGGCAATGACAGCCGGCTAAGAATAAGAAAAGGAAAAGAAAGAAAATAAAATGAATATTGATAAAAAAAATTCAGAAAATAAAAAAAAAATTGGCAAAAACTGTCAACATCAGCGCCGGCAGTACCATGTAGGACGGCTGACGTCCACGTTAGCGATTTCCAATCACAATTGGTAGGAAGAATTATATTTGGAAAATCATCAAAAGTTTTAGGACAGGTAAAGTATCAAAAAAGTTTTAACCATATTGCATTTGTGCCAGTTCAATTATAAACCTTTCAATTTGGTCAATTTAATCCTAAACGTTTTCACATTTTGCCAATCGAGGCCATCCAGCCACTTGGTTGGAAATCGCTAACGTGGATATCGAAAGTCCTACCTGAGACAACATGCGTTAATGTGGAAAGCTTTTGAAAATTTTTGTAAAAATATATATATATATTATTTCTTTTTTTCCTTTCATATTGGCCTATGAGGGTCACCGGCCACTTGGCAAGGGCCTTCGCACCCTTACCTGTGGCCGGAGGGGCCGCGATGGCCCTATGTCCTCGCCGGCCGCGGGCGAGGGCACGAAGGCCCTTCCCTTGGGTCTTGCGGTCCTGCTAGTGGTGGGCGAGGTGAGGGCTTTGGTTAGGCCATCGCGACCTCACCGGCTGTGGGTGAGGGCCTTCGCGGCCTCCTTAGCGGCCAGCAAGGGCTTGTTGGCTCTCGCTGGCCAAAATGAAAGGAAAAAAATAATAAAGAAAAGAACAAAAAATGTGCAAAAAATTCATAAATTATTAAAATATTATTAAAAAAATGTTCCCGACAGCGTCGGCTGTGCCACGTAGGATGGTCAATGTCCATGTTTACGATTTTCGGCCAAAATTGACCGGATGGACTCAATTGGCAAAATGTGAAAGATTTATGACTTTTTTGGTTTTTTTCCTGTTTTAGGACTAAATTGGCACAATTAAAAGATTTAAGACTAAATTGGCTACCGTATAATAGGTTTTGAACATTTTTGGACAATTATCCCTAAATTTATCTGT